AGAAGTAAAGAGACCTTTTATCAATTTATTAAAACTCCACAATACTCGTAAGAGTACCTAAATAAAAGAAACAAATATATGATGCTCTGCTGAATGATATCAGCTATAAAATCCTTTGTAAAATACAGAAAATTACAAATACCTATTATTATTACCTATCTAAGTATCTAAGATGCATGTAAGGTATTTCATTTGTAACCAATTTTAGGCACATTTATACCTCGTTGCCTGTGTTGTTGTGATGCTATTATTTTGTATAAGTTCAAATAATATTCATACGTGGCGTTATAGGTGACTAAAAAGAAGGCGTAAATTAAACACTGAATTACTGTTGAAGATTGAAAGCCGTCTAATGAAACGAAATTAACAATCAAGTTGCAATTTTCTGTAGCTCGAGGCACTTTGCTTAAGTAAACATTAAGCAATTAAAATTTAAATACACTACTCGTAATAATATCAGAAACGATAATATTGACTTTTCATTTTCAGCATTTTCTATAGCGTTTCCAAAAAAGTTTTAACAAATTCATTGCTGGTGAAAAATGTTCATTGAAGAAAGTGAATGTTCCAGGTTCAAGTATCGTGTTCACAAAACTTATGTTTTTGAAATATAGTAAATACATCTCGTAAATAGTTTCATGTACTGTAATATGATTCTTGGGCATAGCCAGATGTAGACGCTTATATCGTTGAAGATGGTTGAAGTTGATATCTCTCAGAGCAGGTGTAGGTTACCTACGGTGAGTGCTCGGCCATTGAGAAAGTGCCTAGGAGTGAAAATTCAAAGTTAGGAGAACAAGATAGAAGACATATCGGACGGTGTGAACTATTCAAAATTAATTCTACTAATTGGTCGGCCTAAGCGCTGATCGTCTTCAATTGAGTATGCTTTACTTGAAAAGGCTATGCAATTATACTGTGATATCTCAAAGTTTAAAGAACCGATCTGGCTGAAACTTGGTATTTATAGTTGTATTGAGTCCCCAAGTAGTGACTGTTTTGACGTGATTGAGGAGCCTCTGAAGAAATTTAACTACCGGTTTCTCACCCGATTCCAGAAGTTCCGCTGTAATTCCATCTTCTTCTGTAATTTCATCTCTAAATTCATCTTTTCATCGGAGCGTTGCCGTTTTATCGAGCTGTTCATCTACTTTTAAGCAATAACGTTTACAGCTTTTAGTAAATAAGACATAAAAACTTATAGCAGTGTTTAGCGGGATACGTAATAACCGGCGGACTTTAATACCCCGCTGAAATTAGCGAATTAACTTCCTTATCTAAAGCTAATGAAAACGTTTTTACTGCGTCATCTGCCCGGGGGCTAAACATTCGAGTTTTTCAAACAGAATTGCAATTGTTGATTAAACGAAATCAAAATAATTGCCAATTAGAAAGAAAAATATCGGGTTTTGGGGTTATTTGAAGATTATTAAACTATATATTATATTACTATCTACTTAGAACTATACGAATTTTCTGTCCCACTCTTAATTTTTGCAATATCTAAGTAACTCAATGAACATAATATTTTGGGTTCTCTTAAGTATATATAAAACTACAAATTATATCATCTATTTGTTATTTACTTACTGACTTATATTTATGGGACAATAGTAAGAAATAATTTATCAGGAAAAATCAGTTAACTAATTTGCATTTTGATGTACTGTAGGGCGTCTTCCCGTTAGATACAGTGACGACATGACAAGCAGGTAGTCGAAGGATGCAGTTGGCTCGGGACCGTGCTTTGTGGCATTCTTTGGGGGAGGCCTATGTTCAGCAGTGGACTTGTGAAAGGCTGTATGATGAATGGTGATGGCATTTTGATGTATAGTGTGTATTACGTAGTTATTAGAGTCGGTTCGACCGGGAAAGGACTACGCTCGCACAGAATACCAGCGTCAAATAGCAGCTTAACACTGCTGTTTCGTATGGTGAGTGTAGAGAACCGGAGACCCTTTTTACTGGAAACGGGGCATCCCATCTTAGTCCTCACGGGTAGCAATGTATCTGCATTTTGAATCGTAAATTAGGATAAATGTAGATGTCTATGGGCCACAGCAACCACGTACCATCAGGTGGACTGTGTGCTCGTGCTCGAGCACACAGTAATAGTATAGACTATAAAAAAAATGTTCTACTAGCGCCTAAAAATCAATATTCCAACGTTTTGTCGCATAAAATCGTATCTAACAATCATATTGAACATATAAATTATATAAAAAGCACATTGTCAAAAAGATAAGTGATTGTTGAACTTATTAATATTTTTTAAGAAAGAAGAAGAGTAAAACTAGTAACAAAAAATAATTATTACAATTATTGTCTGTATATATTTACTGGTCTTTTTGTTGAAATTTGTAAGCAAAAATTGGCTTCTAAATAATAAAATAAAATAAGTAAAAATATACGTAGCTTTACAGTTGAAACATTTTGACAATTTTTTCAATTGATTTATTTGAACTCTTATTACATTAGATAGAGTTACGAGCTTGGGGTTCGAGTCAATTAAAAACTGCCGATTGAATTACCAAAATTTACTATCTAAACCACTCTAGTAATAAAACACAATTGTACTATTGATCACTTAAGTTCGCAGTTGTATCGCTTTGAAGTATTCGCTTATGTCGCCAATTCAATAGTACCTCGGTCGTGGTCTATACCGGCCTCATATAGTTTCCATAACCTTCTACTGTAGAAACATCTAGAATGTTCGAGTACATGGCGGACCCGAAATTTCTAGAAGGATCTTGACTCTCCTAGTTCTGCTACTCGATACAAGAGGGCGCTAGTGGTAACTAGTGTTGCCATGTACAAGACATTAATAGTGGCGCGCAACAATAGTAATAATTATAATTTTTTATTAATCATAGGTGTTGATGTAAAACAGTGCTTGTAATTAGGAAGTAGATTCCGGGCTGCTAAATTCAGAAGAAAGTTTGTTAACGATCTGTTGTCTCGCGCTGCGCCTAGACGACCACGATCATAGATTACTGTATATAATCACGATAGATCTAGGCAACCGAGAGACATCTGCAGTTCGGGAATGCTTACGATATCTATGAAAAATTTATTTAAACATTAGTTAGTATCCGTTTAGTTAGTCAACATCGTATTCGTTGGTTTACTTCTCTAAAACTGAACCGAAGAGGGATCGTAATTATATCTTTTTCTCTTTCTTTAATTTTTTGTTCGTTAAATTTCTGGGTGTATGAAAACAGAGGTGTAACTGTGCAGTTTAAAAAAACAGGAAATTATAAAAAAAACCACAGAGGATGTTCCTCTAGGCATGGTAGTTATAGATTGTAAGTACCTATCGTCAAAAATATTTGTTCTGGTGTAATTAAATGATGAAGAATATAAGTGTCACGCAATATATAGAAAAAAAATGATTTCTAAGAAAAATAATTAAAGGCAACGTACCTGCAGTTCCCTTGGTATAGCAGTTTGTTCATGCGTGGCGGTAGTCACTTACCATCAGATGAGCCGCGTGCTCGTTTGCCACCTTTTATACATAAAAAAAATAATGACAGGTACTTACTAGAAATTCATGTTTTCGTTAATACGGTATAAATCAATCGCTCTATTAATGTATGCATATGTGACGAATAAGGCGTAGTTTGCATTACTTTAATCGGTAGATGTTACTATTGTAAGTTTATAAGAGGTGTTAAGTGTAACTACTAAATAAAAAGAGCTTTATTTTTTGTGTTGCGGTATTCGGATAAGGAAAAGTAAACAGATAAGTGAATGAAAATACAACATTTTCTATTATAAGAAACATTTTACTGTTAAAGTATACATCACAATTTATACAATAGTTACATCGATTGAATACATATAAATAATTCAATAATAATTCGAAATAGATTTTGTTTCATTTTTAAATTTTAAGATAATGAGGGCTTATAATCTTCCACTCTCCAGAGGGCGCTAGTTGTGACTGAGGTAAAGTTTTTCGTTACACAATATCAATTAATCAAGAACTTAGTTTTAAATGATAGTTTATCAGTTTCTAGAGTAATTATATTAATATACAAAACAATGCCTCAGTGGTTTGATCTTTATTCTTTTTGATTTAATCCAAAGTTTTGTTTATTCATTTGTAATCTAATTAATATAAAATATAACTAATAATAAAGAAAAAAGTCATTAAATCTTATGTTTTCCTAAGAAATTATTCATTTATAAGAATTAATATTTATTAATTATATACTCCTCGCTATAGAATCTGTCAAATATTTCACCTCATTGCAAAGTGGTGTCACCCTGGTGGCAGAAAAAGTCGTGAATGCCTCCACTAATAATAATAGTTTATTTTACAAGTTTTTCGAACAGAATTAAAGTAAAGATAGAGATTTTATATTGTTGTATAAAATCGAAATAATTAAAGTTGTCTCAAAATATAATATTATGGCAACGAATATTAAAAAAAAACTCCTTTGGTACTTTAATACGAAAAATACAAACTTAATTCTTGCTCAATATATTAAACTAACTATTATTCAAATTAACAACAGGCGATACAATTTCTTCATCAGGTACAAAGGGACAGCGGGAGAAAGGAGAATGTTGCGTTTTATTTCAAGATTGCCACTATCAAAATATTTAAAAGCTTTTATTTGGGATAACGTATGTACTGTTCTGTAAATATGGAGCAATTTCAGTATCTATGTTCTGTTTATGTAACAACTAACAACAATGTCGTTGAATTCACATTCGTGCATAGTGAACTATTAGAAAGCTTATTTTTTATTTGTACCTTTAATATGAGAGTCAATATACATAAATAATAGCTTAAGCTATTATCTTACCTAAGTAGACTGTCGAAGAATCACACAAAATGTGCCTACCTAGTAAAATTAATTGGAATCATTTACGAAGATTTTTAGTATAATCATATTATGTAGGTATAAAGTTGTCACCTAAGAAAATAGATATTTTATATTACATTCTTATTTGAACAAATGGCATGACTTAAATTACGTAATTAATAATCGTCACAAATCACTGTTAACAATGAATCTGTTGCCTTCAGAGTGTTTGCCAGTGTATTTGTATCGACATTTCCCGAAGGCACCTGTAAAAGAAATTAAATGGTTATTGGACATAATATAAATATAAAAGACATTCATTAAAAAAACGGGCGGTTTTTTTATATTTTACCTTCCTGAAAACTATACAGTTCGAATAAGCTTTTAATCATTTGAACATGTTACTGGTCGGTTATAAAAGTGCCGTGGTGTAAAAAGTACGTTCCAAATTTAAATTTTTGCCTGAGGCTGGTTTTTAAAAACAATTTTTTACTACATTTTGTGGCGCGTACTCCCGGAAGTTAATATCCGTTCTAAATAACTTTTAGTCCATTTTTACTGAATTATCACATTTCCTTGCCATTTTGAAGTATTGTATTGCTGTTTAGCGGTGTCGAAAATGGTAGATAATGTAATAAAAGCCAGCAAAATTATTGCGCTGCTTGAGGAGGGTTTAAATGCACAGTTTAAAGTCTAATCATTGGGAAACGAATGTACTTATGCAGAGCAGGGGACGGCGCGATCTTGTGCCAGCACACTGTACTAAGTCTGCTTATTTAACTAACTTTAAGTGCCGTTTTCGAAAAATATGATATCTATAGTGGTACTGTATGTATATATAATTATACATACATACAGTAATTCAATGTATATATATAATACTTATATGAATTACTAAGTAAAGTTAAATTCAAATGACAGCCTAGCTTATGTTAACGTCATTTTTGGATAAAATTGTTTATCCGAATACGAATATACTATATAATTAAATTTAACAATCGAAAAGTGAAAAAAATCTACAAAAAGAAAGTGTCACGAAAACATTTGGCAGTGCAACACTTGTAAATGTGTTTTTTCTTGTAGTAATAAAAATGATCTTGTTCAATAAATGATAATAAATAATAACAATAAATAATAATAATAATTTTAACTTATAAATGTGCACATAATATTAATAAATGATAATGAGTATTATAATGTCCAAAATTATTTTAGTCCCAATGTCGTGACAACCCCTAGCATACACGCCGTCTGGGTAAATACATACGCGGGCAGCGGCATCGCCTGTCGTCAAAGGCTGTTTAAAGATAGTCTAACTGTTTCACAAGCGTTAGACTATCTTTAAACTGTGCTAAATGTGAGTCGTTCGACAGTCCAAAGGACTTGGCAGCGCTATCAAGAGACCGGTTCCGTCAAGAGAAGGTCTGGTTCTGGTTCTTCCATGTACAGAACCACAGGGATCGTTTTCTGGTGAGTCAAGTGTTAAGAAATCTCACCTCAAGAATAACCTCGAAGAATGTTATGGACGGTTAGAAGGAGGCTTCTCGCTGCCAATATACGCATCACCCAGTCTGCGGCCTTAAATTATTCCGTGAGCACGGAGTTGCCAGGCTTCCCTTGCCTTCCCGGAGAGGGTATAGTTTTCCGATGAAGCCTGAATATCTCTGTACGGTGAAGATTGACGTTAGCGAGTGCTATGAAGACGAGGAAAACGCTTTGCAGGGGCATGTTTTGAAGAAATCACACCTTATGGTGAAGACGGCTCTGTTATGTTTTGGGCAGGAATAAATCGGTTGGATCGTACGAGTTAGTCTTCATTGAAAACGGTACACAGACTGAATGGATCCGTTGTTTGGATTGGCCGGATCGCAGTCCCAACCTAAATCTTATATAGAATGTCTGGGACGTTTTGTAGCGACGTGTGAGATCAGTGCAGACTCCACATACCATCAAGCCTGGGCTGCGGCTTCGGCGATTTGGGATGTAAACAACAGCACACTTAAAAAGAAATATAACTTCGCCTCCAGGTTCTTCAACAGAGTTATTGCCAAGGCAAGGTCTGAGCACATCGGCAGAATTGGCGAGAAGCTAGTTCGCCTTCCTTCGGGAACCCGTGCATTCTGGTCTCTCGCCAAGGCTGTCCAAGGGAACTTCTGTCAGCCATCCCTTCCATCTCTGCACAGAGAGGACGACTCACTGGCCCATGCCGCAAAAGAGAAAGCCGATCTGTTGTGCTCTCTTTTTGCGTCTAACTCGACTCTAGATGACGGGGGGAACACACCGCCGACCATCCCGCGATGTGAGTGCTCCATGCCGGATGTGCGATTTACACAGCGCTCGGTTCGCAAAGCACTCTTCTCCCTAGACGTCAGCAAGTCGAGTGGGCCCGATGGAGTCCCTCCCATTGTGCTGAAGACGTGTGCTCCGGAGTTGGCGTTTTTTCCGGTACTCCTACTCCCAAGGCGTAGTCCTGAATTCATGGAAGACAGCTTTGGTCCACCCGATCCCTAAAAAAGACGACCGCTCAGACCCGTCCAACTATAGGCCTATCGCGATCACCTCCTTGTTCTCCAAAATAATGGAATTCATTATTAACTGTCAGCTCATCCGGTACCTTGAGGATCACCAGCTGATTAGTGACCGCCAATACGGTTTTCGTCGGGGTCGATCAGCTGGTGATCTTCTGGTCTATCTGACCCATAGATGGGCGGAGGCAGAAGAGTCCAAGGGGGAGGCGTTGGCCGTTAGTTTGGACATTGCGAAGGCCTTCGATCGGGTTTGGCACAAAGCGCTTCTTTCGAAGCTCCCTTCCTATGGGCTTCCCGAGAAATTGTGCAATTGGATCACCAGCTTCCTTGCAGATCGGAGCATCAAGGTCGTTGTAGACGGTGCATGTTCTGACTACAAGCCTATTAACGCTGGTGTTCCACAAGGCTGTGTGCTATCACCAACGCTGTTTCTTCTGCATATCAATGATATGTTGCTAACTGGTAACATTTATTGCTATGCGGATGACAGCACGGGTGATGCTCTATACACCGGCCGTGCCAATATTTCTCGGGAAAACGTTGCCGAGTACCGAAACAAACTTGTGTCTGAAGTCGAGTCTTTGCTGAACAAAGTTTCGGATTGGGGGCGACTAAATCTAGTCCAGTTTAATCCTCAGAAGACACAAGTTTGCGCGTTTACCGCTAAAAAGAACCCCTTTGTCGTATCTCCTCAGTTTCTAGGCACTCCCCTTCTTGCCTCAGCCAGTATCGGAATCCTAGGAGTCGACATATCGAGTAACGTGCAGTTTCGTGGTCACTTGGAAGAGAAGGCCAAATTGGCCTCTAAAAAGCTTGGCGTGCTCAGCAGAGCAGGACAGTATTTCATGCCGGCACACCGCCTTCAACTTTACAAGGCGCTGGTTCGGCCTCACATGGAATACTGTTCCCATCTCTGGGCAGGGGCTCCCCAGTGCCAGCTCCTTCCACTTGACCGCGTCCAGCGCAGAGCGGCTCGAATCGTCGACGACCAAGTCCTTTCCAATCGGCTCGATTCGTTGGCACTGCGAAGAGATGTTGCATCCCTTTGCATTTTCTTTCGCATCTACCATGGGGAGTGCTCTGAGGAATTGTTCGGATTAATCCCAGCCGCCAAATTTCACGAACGCACATCGCGGCAGAATTCCCGATACCATCCACACCATCTGGATGATTGGCGGTCCACCACTGTGTGATTTAGAAGATGTTTTCTTCCTCGCACGACTTCCTTGTGGAATCGATTAACTTAGGATACGACTTAGGGACCTTCAAGAAAAGAGCGTACTCCTTTTTAAAACGCCGGCAACGCATCTGCAGTTCACTTGGTTCCCCTGGTGTTGCAGTTGTTCATGGGCGGCGGTAGTCATTTACCATCAGGTGAGCCACATGCTCGTTTGCCCCCTCTCCTATAAAAACAAAACCATCAGCGAGCTAAAGAATGTGAACACCGCGGAGTGGGAACGTATTTCCAAAAGGGAAACAATAAGAGATATACTCGCTAAAAAACAAACAAAAAAAAAAGCCCGTAAGTAATACTTAGTATACACGTAAGTAGTATTAAATAATTGAATCAATCAATGGATTTAGGGTCAGGATCAATCCGGGTAACTCGGTTACTGTAAAATCTACAGTGGCGATTACCATGGCCCTTTCTTTTATTGTGTATTACATTAGTGTTTTCTTACCTTTATGTTTGCCTAGCGACGAGAAGTCTACGGGTAGTGGTCGAGCGAGCGGTCCGTTTGTAGGCGGTGTGTATGGCGGCACGTCGGTCATGGGCGGGCGCCGAACTCTCGTGAATTCACCACGTGTGAGTGCTTCCGCGTGTTCAGACGCGGACACTCGTCGAGAGTCGAGGAAACGCAGGTTACGAAGTTTGTAAATAACAAAATATCTAAAACAAAGTCGAATAACATTACTCGTACAATTAGACCTATATTTAAAATGCAATAACTTCCCTAATTAAAAATGAAACTTCAGGGTTTTTTTTTTTGTTAACACCAAAAGTAAGAGATGAAGCAGAAGTTAATCAAAATATGATACAAAATCTTTGGAAGTAATACACCAGGTGGTAGGACTCTAGGATCTTTTCTGGGTTGATACCACCTTCTTAACTATTTCTGTCACAGAATAGCAGTGCTGCAGGTTAAAGTTGTAAGAGAACCAGTATTGTAAATAACAGCTTAGATTTAAGACATTATTAATGTGAATAATAGCCTTTTAATACAATCTATCTAGTTATTTAAGTTTTAGTCACGTAAGTTTTACAACTGTCTAGTACGAAAGTTTATTAATGTTTTATTGCCTTTTATTTGAAGAATTGCTCTATGTTTTTATAGTGTTTGTTGCATACTTAGATATTAATTATTGTCCGTATGCCTATAAAAATTATTATATGTCGATAAATTGTGTGACAAATGAATGTTTGTAAAAATAAATAAATGTTTAATTACATTCAACACACACCCCGCACTCCTCCCCTCCTATCCGCTCATTGGTCGAATAAAGCATGTGTGTCTTACATACGCTCAAATGAGTTGTGTCATCAAAGTCAAATTGGCCTCTAAAAAGTTTGGCGTGCTCAGCAGAGCGGGACAGTATTTCATGCTGGCACATCGCTTGCAACATTACAAGGCGCAGGTTCGGCCTCACATGGAATAATGTTCCCTTCTTTGGACCGGGGCACTCCAGTGCCAGATCCTTCCACTTGACCGCATCCAGCGCAGAGCGGCTCGAATCGTCGACGACCGAGTCATATCCGATCGGCTCGACTCATTGGCGCTGCGAAGAGATGTTGCATCCCTTTGCATTTTCTTTCGCATTTACCACGGGGAGTGCTCTGAGGAATTGTTCGGATTAATCCCAGCCGCCAAATTTCAAGAACGCACATCGCGGCAGAATTCCCGATACCATCCACACCATCTGGATGATTGGCGGTCCACCACTGTGCCATTTAGAAGATGTTTTCTTCCTCGCACTACTTCCTTGTGGAATCGATTACCATCAGCGATTTTTCCGGACCGATACGACTTAGGGACCTTCAAGAAAAGAGCGTACACCTTTTTAAAAGGCCGGCAACGCATCTGCAGTTCACTTGGTTCCCCTGGTGTTGCAGTTGTTCATGGGCGGCGGTAGTCACTTACTATCAGGTGAGCCGCATGCTCGTTTGCCCCCACTCCTATAAAAAAAGTCACAAAATAAAAGACGTGCTATGACCGACCTCGACATTATTCGTTCAACAGTCACCTCAAGCAACAATCCACAAAGCAGCTCTTGTTTCTTAAAATAATAGTTTCATTTAAACTTCCCAAAACACCTATGGTCAAGAAGAAGTCTACATCTGAAAGAATAGAGCTCTGCAGAAAAGCTCACATACCATTCAAGTATAATTACACATTGTGGGTCAATTATAGTTCTAAGTCGTTTTGTTCTAAGTTTGTCATTGGTGTTCAAGGACTGCAATATCCATTAGGTGAATTGTTAGCATTTGTCACTCACAAGTATAAATATAATCGAGATAAATTTTAACACCGGCCGTGCCAATTTTTCTCGGAACACGTCATCGAGAATCGGAAAAAACTTGTGTCTGTTATACAACGTCTCAAATTGGGGACGACTAAATATACATACATACATATAATCACGCCTCTTTCCCGTAGGGGTAGACAGAGACCAGTTCTTTCCACTTGCTACGATCCTTACATACTTGTTTTGCTTCGTCCACTTTCATTATTCCCTTCATACATGCTCTACGGTTTAGGGTACTCTTGACCTGGCCTTTTTTCAAGACGTCCCTGATTTGGTCTAGAAATGTCCGCCTAGGTCTACCCCTTCCAACACTTTCATTCACACTCGCCTTATACACTTTTTTCGTCAATCGTTCTTCATTCATTCTCTCGACATGGCCAAACCATCTCAGCATACCTTTCTCAATTTTTGTCACTACATCTTCTTTCAGACTACAACGTTTCCTTATCTCACTACGACGACTAAATGAAATCCAGTTTAACCCTCAGAAGACCCAGGTTTGCGTGTTTACCGCGAAAAAGAACCCCTTTGTCGTATCTCTTCAATTTCAGAGCACTCTCCTTGCTGCCTCAGCTAGTATCAGCATCCTCGGCGTCGACCGACATATCGGACGATGTGCAGTTTTGTGGTCACTTGGAAGGGAAGGCTAAATTGGCCTGTAAAAAGCTTGGCGTGCTCAGCAGAGCGGGACAGTATTTCATGCCGGTACAACGCTTACAACTTTACAAGGCGCAAGTTCGATCTCACATGGAATACCGTTCTCATTTCTGGGCCGGGGCACCTCGACCGAGTCCTATCCGATCGGCTTGATTCACTGTCGCTGCAAGTTGATGTTACATCCCTTTCCACTTTCTATCGCATCTACCACGGGGAGTGCTCTGAGGGATTGTTCGGATTAATTATAGCCGCCAAATTTCACGAACGCACATCGCGATAAAACTCGATACCATCCACATCATCTGGATGCTTGGCGGTCCACCACTGTGTGTTTTACTAAGAGTTTCTTCCTCGTACAACCTCTTTGAATCTCGATTTTTGCGGACCGATACGATTTAGACCTTCTGCCAAAAGTCTAAAAGGCCGGAAACGCACCTGCAATTCAACTGGTATTAGGTGAACCGCTTGCTCGTTTGCCCCCTCTTCTATAAAAAAAAACATAATTTCCTCGATATGTCGACAGTTATTTTTTTATTTATTGCAATGCAAATGCAACAAATGAAGGTTTTCTTTTACATATAGATCCTACATTGTGAGTGTTTTACATACATACATAAATTGCATATGGACAAACATCCAAACCCGGGATTTTTTTCTAGTCTGTTCAGTTCAGTTCCGTTCGTGATTCGAACTCGTGTCCCGTAGCGATATACGAATTAACCACTATGTTACCAAACCGACATAGGTCAGTAAATCTTACAAAAAATAATGAAATTATAACAAATAATCATTTTGATTGTTTTTCTCGTATAATCAAGCTATATATGGCCGGCCCATTGCCAGTTCAGCTTACTAATCCGTTGGGCTATGTCGGTCACTCTGGTTCCACTGCGGATATCCTCATTTCTAAGTTTATCACGCAGAGAAACTCCGAGCATAGTCTTCTCCATAGCTCGCTGAGCGACCTTGAGCTTCCTCATCCGGCCAGCAGTGAAGGACCACGTCTCATTTCTATAGGTCATCACTGGCAACACGCACTGGTTGTACAGTCTTGTTTTGAGGTATGCCTGACAAGAAGATGTGTCGTAATTTCCCGAACGCTGCCCAGCTGAGTTGAATCCGTCGATTGACCTTAATCAAGAAATCTATTTCATAATCATCTTTTCTCATATATTAACTATTAATCTTGAATAATCTTTAAAATTATCGTCAACCATAACGTTACTGGGAAGTCGTACGTGTCGTGGCACATAAATGCAAATTATTTTATTATAATGAATTTAATATTATCATACTGGCAAGACTATAAAATATACGCGCCATGTTGAACATAATTAAATAAAATAAATGGACAGGACAGGACACAACGAAGGACGTTATACAATATAAAGGTTCAAACTGAGACAGGAGAAACAGGAGATGGGCAGCATTTTCCTAATAACAATTTTTTTAAATATAATTATGGGGCAGTGGATTACATTGTGTGATATCATTCCGTCCGTATCGTAAGAGGCGACAGAGGGAAACCGAAACAGGAGATGGAAAGTAGCACCATTCTCATGAAAAGAAACAAAATAATAAAAAACTGTGATTGCCAACCCGACTGTCAAGTGTAGCAACTATGGCAAATATCTCCTTTATGAGACAATTTAGGAAGGAGCCGTGGTGCGTTCAACAGTGGATTTTGATAGTCTGTAATGATGCTGATATAATAATAATTGAATGAAATATTAGTTCACTAGATGTTAGGACTCCTTTTCTACCTGCGAGTCCATCTAGGTTAGGGTTACCAACCGTCCTGTTTTCCCACGACATGTCCTAGTTTTTGTAGTGTCCTGGGATGTCCTCGATAGTTTTTAAGCAGCGTCCTGGGTTTTTAAAGCGCCCTGATATGGTAATGTTTTTAAAATTCGCGCGCCACTTTTACAGTTCACGTTTAGGGCGGCCTCACGGAGTTTTTATTTTGTTATGTATGGTATCGTTTGAATCTAGTAGATACTTGCATACATAGTACATACATTCGCCACGTTGTATAGAGAACCAGTATCTAATACAATGCCTCACAGTCTTTACTTTTCTTTTGTATCTTAATCTTCAGATATGACAACGAAACTGTAACAGAGTGGATGGCGAGCTCAATTCGGTTATGTGTTGGTAGGCTGCGGTGAGAGGGGTGTCCTCTTCCCCTGTCGCTGCAACTGAGGTGGAGTTGCGGAGGAAGAGGAGTGTTGGTATGACGATGAGCCACTCGCCTTATGCTCCGCGAGTCTGACGGGGCCGAACCGTTGATGTGGTGGTGGGACTGCGGGGCGAGGGGGGGGGGGGGGGAGAGGAGCGTCGGTATTGTGAGACGCCTCCCTCCCTACATTCCGCAGGCCTTAGTTGGCGGCGGAACCATAGACCAGATCCGCCGATGGGGTCAGGAATGATAGTGCTTCTGAGTGTTCGTTTTTCCTGGTCCGGAGCGTCCCTTGCTCAGGTGTACTTGGAGGCCGTGGAGGAAGGCGTGCCATGTGTTCTGGTGCGCCTTACTTGAGAAAGAGAGGACCACTCCTGTAGTCCTCTCCCGAGGTGGAGCAGCCATGAGGCGGCCGGCGCTGGTGGGGGCACGGATGTGTGCGAAAGCGTCCCTGTTGCCCTGCCAATATGCGACGAAGGTGGTACAACATGGGGTTTTAGTCGGTGCGAGTCCGACATAACGAGTCCTTCTCCCGTATGCGTAGGCATTTCACATACAGTTACAAAAAACGACATTTAAAAAAAAAGATGTCTATTGACTGCAGTAGTCACTTAGCATCATTGACTGTTGTGGACTGAAGTTCGTTATACACTTCAGTATTATAAAAAAAAAAATTAAAATAAAAAAATACCTCACAGTTCATGGCTGGGTGTATTAACTTGTTCTCCATAAGACCTGACAAGCTATAGAGCTGCAGGGACAATGTAAGCAAGACTCCTTGGAAAAGCCCCATGGAAAGACACTTTAGTATTTTTAATAAATTTGCTCTATAATTTTTACATTCAGACCAATGTATGGCATAAGTTAAAGTATATTTTCTTCTACAATTAGGATAGATATCCCGCGGTTATTGCATGCCACACAACGTGAGGTAGTGCTCTAATCTCGATATGTGGCCATACCTCAATTTCGTTACATAAAATCGTTCTTATACTTTTAGCTAGACATCAAATCCATATTATTATTAACGTTACAATAACTACAGACATTGCATTAAAAAATTAGTTTATTTTCTAATTGATTCACTTTATAAATTACATAACAAAAAATGTAATTGAAAAAATATATGGACTGACGTCCGTTGGTCTGTGCGTCGGTGAGACTTCTCGCTTAATAGAAACGTAAGCAATACATTGAGATGTATAGTATTAAATAAGTTTCCATACATTCTAAGCAGGATCCCTATTGATTTTTGTTATTGGACTCAACATCGTTTAAAAGTTACTAATGAAAGTCGATCAGATTCTTTATTTTTTTTTTCTTGTAAAAATTATCGTCACAATTTTTATTTTTTTCATCAAATTAAACGGAATGCTCATGAGGCATGCACTTATGTGTTTTCCAAATTGGGCTTTGCTATCTGACATTCCTTTAGCGGATGAAACCTAAAAGTCCTTAATACGCGTTCCGTCTATCTTATTAATACTTAATACGGTTGTAGACCTTTACACAGTATACAATAAATAAAGTGTTCTGTTTAATTAATACGAGTAGCTAACAGCTAAGTAAAGAAAATATTCTCTTTTTTTTTCGACTCTACATTAAAGTGATAAATAATGTAAACTGTTTAAGTAATGCAGGGAAGAAAACGGATCAGAGAATGAAATCTTCGGATTTACGGTCGAAATATTCTGTTTAATCTCGACTTACCTATATCTCTGGTAGTCGGAGTCATCTTTATCGCAGTCGGAAAGTTGGTTTGGACACGCTTTATTGCTGAGTAAGCTGAGATAAGTAAGCGCAGGCAGCTGTTCACTCACTTTTTCGATCAATCCCTCTAAATCTGTTAACTAAAACATAAAAAATATTGCCAGTTATAATTTATTTTGAAAATATGGTATTTGCAAATAAAAATACGAATGTTCTATAAATGTTCTATACGTGTTAGAGCCATGCTGCAGCTATCAGTAATATATTTGTAGCAAGAATGGGTCGGTTCGACCGGGGAAGAACCGCGCTCTCACAGAATACCAGCTAAACGCTGCTGTGTTTCGTATGTTGAGTGTAGAGAACCGGAAACCCTTTTTACTAGAAACGAGGCATTCCATCTTAGTCCTCACGGATGACAACGCATATGCATTTTGATTCTTAATCGAAGATAGATGTAGATGTCTATGGGCCACAGCAACCACTTACCATCAGGTGGACTATGTGCTCGTTTGTCACCCTTATCCTATAAAAAATATGTTCTTATTTCAAATTTATCTCCATATTTTTTACAAGCTAAATTGACATATACAATATTATTATATATAATATTATAATATTGTGTATCATTGAAAAATGGTTCATATAGGGAAATTTTTGGCGAGATGATTTTTTACGATTTCAAACGTCGATAAAACGGGACGAATCGCTTGATAGTATTCAAATAGAATTTATGGATAAAGGCCCTTCTAAGGCAACTCGTGTAACCGCGTCTAACAAATTTCAGAACGGTCGACTAACTTTGAGATATGAAAAAAGTAGTGGTCGTCCTTTGACGGGTATTACGGCAAAATACGCGTTAGCAGTGAAAAATTTAATAGAATAGAATAGGCGAATTGCGAGTGAAGAGAATCAGTCAACACATATAGCAGATTGGATCGGGAAGTGTTCACGACATTTCACAGGAAAACACTGAAGGATAGTTTCGCGTTTGGGTGCCGCACAACCTCAACAATGCTCAGAAGCAGGCAAAATAACTAAACTGAAGCAGTCTCTCAGCGTGTCGATGAATGAAGCGTCAGTCGTCAGTTTGGCTGTTTCAAAAGAACCAACGACTTCTAACTCGATCGAAAAGCGCGGGGAAGATTTATACCTCTAGTTTTATACTTTGACGGTATATCGGGTATCAATCCCTTTACGAAATCGAAGTAACATCAAAGCCGAATGGTAGTATTTATTGTTGTTATCAACAAGCGACCGAACACGGGGTTCCGCGTGCTATTACTTCGCAACGTCAGTGTCCGCGGACTCCGTGCTTCTTGGATAACACACCGGTAAAGCTCTTGGGTCTATTTGGGTTACTCTACTTACAGCTACGATTTAACACACACGTACACTTATTCACATAATTCTTTTTATTTTTTTTAAATAAAAATTAAAAGTCAGCTGAAAGGTATACAGCTTTCATCACCGAAAGATGCGCTAACAGCGTTCAACAGGTCGTAGAAAAGATGTTTGCTATAAAATGATTTAATGATATGTCTTTAACCATAGAAGTTTTTTTTACCTGTGTAGTGGCGGGTAAGAATACCCACTACCCCATATCTTCCTGTGGGTGTCGTAAGAGGCGACAGAGGGAAACTGAGGCGGAAGATGGGCAGCAACATCTTTCTGATAACAGCAAAACAATAATAAAAAACTACGGTTGCCAACCAGCCTGTCAAGCGTGGCAACTATGGCAATATATTTCTTATGAATAAAGTTACGAAGAGACGGTCCCCAGTGCCCAGCGGCTCCGCTACCTGCTAACTCCGGCTGGCTACGGTGGCGCTACCATGGTAACGGCCGATCAGGGGGTTCTAAGAATCTCCGGTGGAGGTTTGGTTGCCACCTAAGACGACTCAACCTGGCAACATGTAAGGCACGCACTCTGAGGACCGACGAGAAGATTCTGGAGCTGGAAGAAGAGATAGACAAGATGCGCTGGAATATTATAGGATTATCTGAGGTCCGAAGAGAGAGAGAGAGAGACATGGTAACCCTCAAATCCAACAATTTGTTCTATCACCTGAAGGGCGAGGGCGACCATCTGTCCCAAGGAGCTTTCGGATGTCTTGTCCACAAGTCTCTCGTTAACAACGTTGTAAAGATTGAGAGTCTGTCGGCGAAGGTTCCGTACCTTATACTCAGAATCACCAAACGATATTCGCTGAAGGTTATACAGGTTTACGCACCAACCTCGGCACACCCCGATAAGGAGGAGGAGGAAATGTATGAGGATATATCTAGAGCCATGCATTCCTTCAAAACCCACTATACGGTGTTAATTCTTCAACGCTAAACTAGGCACAAGAGAGTAGGAAAATTTGGAATAGGCACCCAAGGGGCCATCAGCTGACCAACTTCATAGAGAAATCAGTCGAATGAAGTCGACGCTCCATCCACCTCGTGTCTCCGCTTCATCCACTCGAGTTGAAAGATTCGAAATCTTTCAGCTCGAGCTAAAAAACCGTTTTCAGTGCCTAGAAGATTACAATACAGTGGACGATATCAATGACAAGCTTGTGGAAACTGTCAATGCGGTCGGAGCTAAGTTCTGAAAGACCCGCCGCAGAAGAACACAAAAACTCTGCGATCACACTCTTAATCTTATGGCTGTTAGACGGGAAATGAAGCTGCAGTCTTCAGTAGATTTGACAGCGTACAGGCAACTGAATAGACAGATCTCCAAATACATGCGGCAGGACTTATGCAACTTCAATACAGCTCGAGTTTAAGAAGCGATCGTGCGGAATCTGGGCTCCAAAGTCTTTGCAAGATGTTTGTCTGCCAGAATGAGCCAACTGTCGAAGCTGAAGACCGAGTGTGGCAGCGTCGTTTCCGAGACACCTGAGATTTTGAGTGAGATTGAGATGTTCTATGGGCACCTGTACACGTCGACGTTAGAGCCACACGCAAGTGTGAGTAACTATCCAAGAGCAAGTCATATCCGACACGATTCCGATGCGTAAGGCGTGGAGCAGAAGTGCGGTGGTCTTGTTCTTCTAGAAAGGCGACCACGCTCTTTTGAAGAACTACAGACCGATTTCCCTTCTGAGTCGCGTCTACGTGCTGTTTTCGAGAGTCATTACGAATCGTCTCGCACGCAGACTTGACGACTTCCAGCCTCCCGAACAAGACGGTTTCCGAAAAGGCTTTAGCACCATAGTGGTCTATGTTGCTAAAGCCTTTTACCTTACGTACCCTTGCATACGTACCCTTCGACAAATTCTACAGAAGTTCGAGGAGTACAATTTGCCATTATGTCTGGCGTATGTGGACTATGAGAAAGCCTTGGATTCCGTCGAAATTTGGGCGGTGCTGCAGTCCCTTCAGCGGTGTCAACTTGTCTGTCGGTATATCGAAGTACTGAAGTATTTGTACAGTAGGGCTACGATGGCTATCCGAGTACAGAACCAGAGTACGAAAGCTATCCAACTGCAAAGAGGTGTAAGACAGGGTGATGTTATATCACCGATGCATTGGAAGACGTTTTCAAGCTGCTGGAATGCAAAGGATACGGTATTAACATCAACGGCGAGTACATCATTCACCTTTGATTTGCCGACGATATAGTCCTTATGGCAGAATCGCTGGAGGACCTAAGCACTATGCTCAATGACTTCAATAGTGCCTCCCAACGGATAATTCTTAAGATGAACATGGACAAAACAAAGATCACGTATAACGTTCATGTGACACCTATGCTGGTAGTTGTTGGGAGCACTAAGCTCGAAGTTGTTGACGAGTATGTTTACCTGGGACGAATAGTCTGACTAGGTAAGTCCAAGGTCAATCGACGGTTTCAACTCGGCTGGGCAGTGTTTGGGAGATTACGACACATTTTCTAGTCAGGTATACCCCAAAAATTGAAAACCAGACTGTATAACCAGTGCGCGTTGCCAGTGATTAGCGATGGAACTGAGACGTGGTGCTTCACTACTGGCCGTATGAGGAAGCTCAAGGTCGCTCAGCGAGCTATAAAGAGAGCAATGCGCGGCGTTTCTCTGCGTGATAAAATTAGAAATGAGGATATCCGCAGTAGAACTAGAGTTACTGACATAGCTCAACGGATTAGTAAGCTTAAGTGGCAATAGGCCTTAGTGGCATATAGCTCGAAGAACCGACAACCGATGGGAAAAAAAGTGCGGCGGACGAAGTGTAGGGCATTCCCCCACTAGATAGAGTAACGACCTGGTAAGACATGCAGGAAGTCGATGGATGCAGGTGGCTCAGGACCGTACTTTGTGACATTCTTTGAGGGAATTACTGAGTAAGTCAAGTAGTTACGTATGTGTAATGTAAGATTTAAGGTGAAAGTGATACTAAGTGTAAAGGCCTCATTGGAGAGCATGCAGTGTAGCGGGACGTTCGGTTCGGTGTTCATGACAACACTTGTATTGACAGCGCCCTAAGTGGATGTTGTTTGAAATGTATGGCAAACGCGACACTACGCCATACGTCTCGCCGAGAGAATGCAAGTGACTCAAGAACCAGCTTCTAAGCGAATTGCGAGGCAGTTTTAATCAACAATGGACTTGTAATGAACTATGACGAATAATAATTGAATTTAAATTTACGATTCAGCAGGCAAGTTAGCACAGATGGGTTATTAAAATCCTGCTAGTTATTATCAGTTAAATTGATAGTACAAGTATAGGAAAACAAAAAAGCGATTACAACAATTGTACGATATGTATATTTAAACTGTATATACTCGTATATGACCCTAGCAGCAGCCCAAATCAACAAAGATTATGTGTTATTTTTATATTCACGGTGAAAGGCTTATAGGAATAATGTAAAAACAAGAGGTCAGAAGATATCACATCACAGTTAAAAACAACATTAGCACATGTTACGCTAAACCATATTTACAGAGCAGACCATTAGCAATTCTATTACAGCTTAATAGCTTTGAGAACTAGAAATTCCCACGACTTGACGTTGACATATCCGACCTTTGCACAGGAACTGTATGTGACCACACTTATTTATAGAACGCATGACTTCAATATAACGCGGACAATCTATTTATAGAAAAAAAAAAGAGAGAATTAAAAGTACCTTGTTGTTATTCAATGAAAGTGTCCTTAAATGAGGTAGGAATGGAAAACGAATGTTGTCATCTAACTTATTATTGTCCAAGATCAGTTCTTGTAGCCTCGTGAAATTCTCCAAGCCTTTGAGCGTCTCCATACTGTTGTAACTGCGAAAAAGTTCTTATTTACTAATACTAGACTAAATTATATAGATAAGCAGGTTGATTAGAGAATCTGCTGATTAGAGAGTCTCCTTCGCCGTCTTATATCTTATATATTATGAAAATATCAAGTGGGATAGCAGTCAGGCATAAGTCAAGACCTGAGCACGCCACTGATTATGATAAATTAATATAAAAATATCATTTATTTTTACTTAATTATCTATAACTTCTTTCTTATATACGAGGGTTGATCTAAAAGTAATGATAATCGGTTACTTCAGGTCCGCATAAAAATCCAAAAAAAATTTTTTTTGCTTGTCTATATACTCACTACGCCAGCCTAAAAAAATCATATAAATAGATCACGATTTCCGGGAGATACATTCATTTGAATACGAACTGTCAAAGAGATTTTTTTTTATATAAGAGGGGGCAAACGAGCATGCGGCTCATTGCCCCTAACTGATGGTAAGTGACTACCGCCGCCCATGAACAACCGCAACACCAGGTGAATTGCAGATGCGTTGCCGGCCTTTTAGAAAGGTGTAAGCTCTTTTCTTGAAGGTTCCTATGTCGTATCGGTCCGGAAAATTCGCTGGTGGTAATTGATTCCACAAGAAAGTTGTGCGAGGGAGAAAACTTCTTCTAAATCGCACAGTGGTGGACCGCCAATCATCCAGATGGTATGGATGGTAACGTGAGTTTTGTCGCGATGTGCGATGGCGAAATTGAACGGCTGGAATTAGTCCGAACAATTCCTCAGAGCACTCCCCGTGATAGATGCGATAAAATACGCAAAGAGATGCAACATCTCTACGCAGTGCCAGTGTCGTCGACGATTCGAACCGCTGTTAAACGAGAACCAAGCCATTCAGCGTGGTGGGCGTTAAAATCACCAAGTATCACGATCTCTGCGGATGGGACCTGTTGTAGCACGGAGTCTGCAGCCATTTGGACGTGGTCGATGAGTCAGTCTGTGTCGGCATTACCGCTGTAGGAACTATAGAGGCACCCGTAGATGGTCGTCGCTGTCTACGCGCAACCATAGGATGGACAGGTCCGTACCTTCAAGACTGCCGAGGCGTCGAAAACAGATGTCCTCTCTGACGTATACGCAAACTCCAGCCCGGGGCATAAAGGAGTGTTCCAATTTGTACCCCGGGTAGGAGCGATATGAAGTATCAGCCGGAGAGGACACCTGAGTCTCGGTTAAAAAGAGCAAGGCCGGCTTCGCCGTCTCTAGATAGTAATGGACAGCGTTAAGGTTGGAATGAAGTCCCCTGATGTTGCAAAAATTCACGAATAGCGTGACAGGGGTCGCCTTGGTTGTATTGCTCCGCTTACCCCGAGCAATTATGTTTTTGAGCGGAATTCCCCCCCCAGAATACGCGGGGCAGCCTGAGCTGGATGGATGTTCAGCGAAGCTTTTATTTAATTCCACTACCATGTTGATGGGGGGGGGGGGAATTGGGCTTCCGGCCACCTGCACTCACCAAGCGGTTCGAGCTGGCCCATCCGTGCGACAGCAAAAGCCACCGCTTAGCTCTACCACTGTTAAAAACATTAACATCAACGTGGAGAAAAACGAAATTAGAGCTGTCATCAAGTATCTCTGTTTGAAAAAAATGTCTTCAAAAGACATACACAGTGACTTAGTGTAAACATTGGGGGACTCTGCTCCTCCATATTCTACAGTTGCACGCTGGGCCAAGGAGTTTAAACTGGGCAGAACATCCACTGAAGATGAACATCGCGAAGGACGCCCATCCACGTCCCTCACTGAAGACAACGTGAAAAAAGTCGAAGATGTTGTGTTGGCAGACCGAAGAGTGACCATCAGGCATGTAGCTGAGGTCACAGGGATCTCATATGGCAGCGTTCAAAGAATCCTTGCGAACGAGTTGCATATGAAAAAGGTCTCTGCGCGTTGGGTACCCAGAATGTTAACCGACAAGCAAAAGAAAAATCGAGTTGACATTTCGAGGGTCAATCTCGAAAAGTTCCAAGCAGATCAAGAAAATTTTTTGTTCCGTTTTGTGACTATGGACGGGACCTGGATCCACCATTTTGATCCTGAAACGAAACAACAATCGATGACTTGGAATCGAGCCTCCTCATCGACGCCAAAGAAATTCAAAGTTTCAAGTTCGGCGGGAAAGGTTATGGCATCTGTTTTTTGGGACGCTCATGGCATAATTATGGTGGAATATTTGGAAAAGGGAGCCACTATTACGGGCTCTTACTACGCAGACCAAATAAGAAGATTACGGGAGGCCATTAAGGAAAAAAGACGCGGCAAACTGCGAGCTGGAGTGATGTTTCACCAAGACAACGCACCGGCTCACAAAGCCGCAGTTGCGATGGCTGCCATTCAAGAAACGGGATTCGAACTGCTCGAACACCCTCTCTATTCGCCAGATCTAGCCCCTAGTGATTTCTACCTCTCTTTCCTCGGCTCAAGGAATGCCTCCGAGGCAAGAAATTCGAAGACGATAGCGAAGTAATGGCCGCTGTTGTAGCGTTTTGGGAGGGTCAAGACAAATAATTTTTTTTAAAGGGAATCCTGGGTTTAGAAAAAAGATGGACTAAATGTATTGATTTGTTAGCAGACTATGTAGAAAAATAAATTATTATTTTAACTTTAATTACCGTGTTTTATTTTCATTATCATTACTTTTGGATCACCCCTCGTATGTTACGGCTAAAAGCCGAAGTGCGGTCACACCTAATTCTAGCCGACTAGAACTAGTTGCGGCCAGGAGCAGTTAGTTAAATTTAGGTGTACTGTTAAATTTGTAAAAATACGGAAAAACGTATCAAGTAACATCAGCGACAGTAGGTTAAGGTGCGGTTAAGGTCGCCCTTGGGCCACCTTAAAACCGCAGACATTTATCTAATTTATAAATTATGTATGATACATCAACCGCAATCGACTACAGCTTGTATTAGCCGGCTAGAACTAGGTGTAACCGCACTTCGGCTTTTTGCTGTATCATATCCATTAATAAAATCGTAAAGGACGAAGGGTCTGAACTTTGTTTTTATTTTCTCGAAATTTTGCTAGGTAGGCTAAATACGGACAATGGAGCCCAACTCAGAAAAGACAAGATAATATTGGTGTGTATTTTCTATTATAAAACTAACGTGACAAACGAACTTACAGACCACCTGATAGTAAGAGGGTAGTCGAGGCTAGAGGAGGTACTCCGTGGACACCTGCAGTCAATTTCAAACAAAGAAGTTAACAGATGCGCTGTCACCTCTGAGGACTAAGATGAAATGCATCACAGCCTGTAATTATACTGACTCTATAGCCTTCGCACCGGAACACTATTTTCTTTCCTACGTGGTAGAGCCATGCTGCAGCTATATTAGTAGTATAGTTGTAGCACGAATGGCTCGGCTCGACCGGGGAAGGACCACGCTCTCACAAAATACCAGCGTAAAATAGCAGCTTAACGCTGTTGTGTTTCGTATGGTGAGTGTAGAGAACCGGAGACCCTTTTTACTGGAATAGAGGCATTCTATCTTATTCCTCATGGGTGACAACGCATCTGCATTTTGATTCTTTATTGAGGATAGAGGTGAATGTCTATGGGTCACAGCAACCACTTACCATCAGGTGGACTGTGTGCTCGTTTATCACCCTATCCTATAAAAAAACACAAGAAGGGACAATTTCTATAAATTGATTGTCGATAAAGATGATAAATCAAAAATTTTGGAAGCGTCGTCTGTCTGTTCGAATGCACAAAACATTACACAAATTCCTGTGGACGGATTTGGATGGAACTTTCACTATCCATCCATCCTCTCCCATTAAATTCACTTTCACTACAGTGACGTAGTATTCGATCCGTTAGAATAAATATATTATACCATCATGCTACCTGTCATAGGGGCTGCCCTAATAGTCTTTAATTTTCAAACTGAAACGGCAGTCGATTAAATATGACGATGTAAATAATGCTCTATCGAAACTAGTACATTGGTTTAACGCCAACAATTTGCTCTTAAACGGCAATAAGACAAAATGTATTAAATTTACAATACCTAATGTAAAACATTCGAAAACCAATGTGCTCTTAAATGGGGAGGAGTTGAGTCTTGTGGATACCACTGTTTTTCTCGGTATTACTATTGACGCGAAACTTCAATGGGGCCCCCATATATCTAAATTAGCAAGCAGACTTAGTTCTGCAGCATATGCTGTAAGAAAGATTAGAAGTCTCACAGATGTTGAGACAGCTAGGTTAGTGTATTTTAGTTACTTTCATAGCGTAATGTCTTATGGAATTTTGCTATGGGGTAATGCGACTGATATTGAAGCTATATTTGTTTTGCAAAAGAGAGCCGTACGGGCGATTTATAATCTAAATTGTAAAGAGTCCCTTAGAGAAAAATTTAAAGAAATAAACATATTAACTTTGGCATCGCAATATATTTATGAAAATGTATGTACATAATGTATGTATGTATATAATGTATGTACATAAAAACATAAATAGCTTTAATAAGAATAAGGATGTTCATACCTTAAACACTAGGAACAAACATAAGCTTGTAATGCCACTTACAAGACTCCACAGAATTAGTAATTCATTTATGGGGCAATGTATACGCTTTTACAACAGAATCCCAGAACATGTTCAAAGTTTGTCAATAAACAAGTTTAAAAGTTTTATTAAAGAAAAACTGTACAAAAAGGGTTATTATAATATCAAGGAATACATGAATGAAAATAACCCCTGGGAATAAGGTGATCGCCACCATGCTGGTTCTATGAAAATTCATTTAAAATTGTATAATCAAAATTATTGTTAAGTGAAATTATGTTTAAAAAAAAAGTCCCGCTGGGTTTCTTGCTGGTTCTTCCCAGGACAGAGGTATTTTCCGAACCAGTGGTAAATAAAATAATGACTTTCAATAAGTATTATGTAATAATCCATATTGAATAAAAATCATTCTATTCTATTCTATTCTATTCTATAGTCCACATACTT